AGGACTCGGCACTGGTTCAGAGATTGACCACCACAGTGTCTTACTTCTGCCATTTAATGGGATAATGCTCCAGAGGAAAACCAAAGGGTCCTATTACTTCAGTCCTGTAACACCCCTGGTTCTGTGGACATTGCGTTGGACACACCTCCCCCTTGAGCCCACTACTCTTCTGCAGCAATTTTTCCTTACCCTCCCTTATCCAAATAACCACAGGCTGCATTCACAGAAGACCTCTGAGAACCCCGGATCCCATCCCTTGGGGTCAAATTGTGCAAAGCTGGCTTTCCTGCCCATATGGAAGAAATAAGACAATCCTGCACAGCTGGAAGAAATACAGTCCTGCAGCCTGAGAAATGTAGTGTGAAGCAAGCTCCTCACAGAGTGAATCAACACAAACTAGGACAGCCACAGGGTCACAAGGTGATCTTATAAGCAAAAGTGACGGACACGTGGCTGTACTGGCTTATTGTGAGGATGGCCTTAGGCCTGAGCCTAAGCAACTCCATTTTAAAAACTCCAGTTTGAAACCGGCAGTCTCACCAGACAACAGAGCCCTCCAATATGGCCCCCCAAAAGTTATTTCCCCTCACCCTGATAGTGAAGCCCCTGGCAGGCTGTTCTCACCTGATAAGAGGGAAAGGCGAGAAGATCAGGGTGAAGACCACCAGACCAGATGTTTCTGACCCCAAGGTAAAAATTATGTCACTGAGAATCCAGTGGTACCTTATAAGCATTGAAAGGGGGGTCAAAGGACCCCAAATTTAGTATAAATAATAGAGCAAATGAACAGGGATTCAGCCAGCTGAAACAAGGTACACTCGAGCTGGAGAGCCTGATGAGGACCTGACATCCCTTCACTTGTCATCGTTCCTGATCCTCTGCAGTATCCTCCTCACCGCTTTCAAACTCTACCGCCTGTCTGTGAGAAACTGATGTGACTCCATTTTTGAGAAACCAGCTTCTACCTCAAGGCCTGTCCTAAAGGAAGGGGGTGTGACCCTTATTCAGAACACATACCCACCCTGCTGAGTTGTCTATCTGTAAATAACAGGAGAGATCTGTGGTGCCAGGTGTCCCTGACTCAGTTAAGCTAGATGAGGACCCACAGGAACCCCTTAGCAACCTCCAATCAACATGAGACAGGGAAAACACCTGGGATGACCCCCCAGTAGTTTATGGTGGTTGATAACATGTTGGGAAACCATGTAGTTTAGCACATAACCCCTCGTGGCCTAAACCAATCTGTTCAAAGGATTCCCCCTCTTGTACTAACAAATCACCCCTACCCAACTTGTTCCTGCCAGTGAATGGGCTAATCAATGTTAAGAGTTGTTGTTTGATTTTCCAGAGGTATGGAATGATTTGCTGTGTGATGTTGTGATTGCATAGAGTATCCCCCCCAAAACCTATAAAATCTCACTGGGACCTCTGTGAGGTCCAGGCTCCAGCTTGCAATAAAGACTCTTGTGTGACTGCATCGGATTCGGCTCCTGGAGGTCTATTGGGGTCCCATGAATCTGGCATTATATCTGGACCTTGGTGAAAGCCACAACTTCTCCCTACCACCCTCTCCTCAACGGGTCGTCCACTCCATACCAGGAAAAGCCTGCCTTGATCATAGCAATCTGAGTGAGTATGCATCTGCTGGACACAAAGCCTAAGGCTTAAGACAGAGGGAATGTCTGTCATTAGCCTGTCATGATTAAGAGTGTTTTGCAGTGCTTAGAATTAATCTAGAATTGTTTGCTGTGAATTGGTTATGTCTATTGCAGTGCCTACCATTAAGGATTGTCGTTTTTCTTGATTAAGAACCTATACAGTGAAACTGTATTGAGTAATTTGAGTGAATAAAGCATTGAAACAGGCAGAAGTGTGTGGACATTGTTTATTTCTCCCCTCAACTGCATACATCGCAATTTTGCCCCCTCGACACACTTATCAAGAAAGTTCTCCAGAAAACAACTGGCTGGAAAGCTGTGGATGGCTGGATCATCTATAGTTTCTCAGAATCTGCCAGGATAGCCTGTAACTTCCCTTCCTAAAGCAGACTTCTTTCCTTGTATGTATGACTCCCTGCCTGGATCTACCCACAGGCTAAGCCTCCACTTTCCACAGAAAACACTCTAGTCCTTCAGTAGTGTCAAGATATGATAAACACACAGTGCCACACCACCCCTGATCGGCCAGCTCCCCCTGTGATGCTCCTTCACCAGGTCTAGTGTCTTATTACATCACTACAGTCGCCACCTACAGATAATCCTGAAAACTGGTATCATGCTCTTAAAGCTCAAGTTCACACTTCCATTTCTGGTCCTGTTACAAGATCCCCATTCTAGGAGCCAAAGGTTATGAGTGACCCAAAAAAAAAAAAAAAAAAAAAAAAGAAAAGAAAAGAAAAAAAGAAAAGTGGCCATGATCTCATGCATTCTCCAGAGCAAAAGCAAAATTAAATTTCCTGGGGTCTGACAATTAGCAAGAAAATAAACTTTGCTTATTCTTTCTGCTATGCTAATAAACTCAACCAATGAGAACTATCCCTACCATAATCAAAGCAAATTCAATTTTCTGAAACAGTAAACAGTTATGAGTGAACTCACTGCCTAATCTTGATTTTCTCTGCTGAAGTGGAATTCTTCCATTTGAAATACTTAAACTGTTACATCTATATAAAAATGGAAAATGTGTGATCCTATACTTCGCTAGCTTGGCCAAAAAAAAAAAAAGCCTTTTGCTGTCATCTCATTGCTTCAATTGGCAATTTGCCTCTTTCCACAGTTTAAATGCCAAGGTTTCATGTACACAGAGTGATATTTTTTAATTGATCGCTCATGCTTCTCTAGCCATATGCCTATCATTAGAGTGTGTGAATTTTCATATGATAATTCATTGCTCCCATTTGGCAATTCAGTACCTTTAATTGTGCCAGTCAACCATATAAAACATCATAACCTTTGGAGATTGTACAAAGAAAAAATGTGTTTTTTAAAACTCTGATATGAAAAGCATGCTGCTTAAAAACAGGTTTGTGTTTTCCACAGTCAATTGTATCAGCACCAGTGTCTTCTGGAAGAGCTGTAACTGTTTAATGCAATTCCTAGAACTTTGTATCATTTTCTGCTTTTTAAATTATACATGTGACCTTATTGAAAATATCTACAGTCATAATTCGAAATGAAATAAGAAATGTATTATCAAATTAGTGCTACAAGACCCATCTATAAAACTACTGCTGATTGCCCAGTTTTATATTCCAAAACAATAAATGTGCAGGATGCAACTGTCTTTAACTTGCTTGATGGTGTGTATTTTGTTCTAGTAATAAATAATTATCTCCATAGACTTTGATGATGCCCATCACTCCCTCCAGAAAGTTCACTGGTTATCAACCTACCAGCATATGTGTATGTATGTGTGTGTGTTTTCTTTTCTATTGCATTTCCCTACATTAATCTATATTCTGTAATTCCCTAGACCCAGGGATCAAGGAAATAAAGTGAATTTCAAGGTGGCTTAATAGACAATAAACACACATTATGAATCTGAAACATACTGTTGGAGCTTGCTATGCTTATTGAGCATATATCTTAGGAAAATCTTCTAAGACATTTCAGGACTGAAACTATAATCTGGAAAGGTTGACTTTCCTTAGTTTCAGAATTCTGTGTAGTTTCACTGAAATACTCAAAAAATGAAAGCACAGTTCCAACTTACAGCTTCTGAATCACACAATTTCAATAAAAGACATCCATTCAGTCAGCTAACCTGCTAAAAGCCATTCACTCTCTATATATGATATACAGGAGAGAGAGAGAACCAACATCAGTCAACTAATTCCGGAAAGTACAGACATTTTCGACARTCCAGCTTCAGCCCTTGTTTCTTCCCACTTGAGAGTCTAATCTCTAAACTTTTTTAAAGATCCATCCAAAATAACATGGGAAGAGACCAGATACCCAATGTCCTAGAGCACAATCTATAATGAGGCTCTCTCCCACATAAAGTATCAGGGACTCTAGATCTCAGTTCCAGCCTCAATTGTACCAATCTGTCAGAACTCTTTATATCTACTGAAGGAACCCACATCTCATTAGATTAATCTCATTAGATGCAAAGGCACAAAACCATAGTCAAAAGAGGTAAGCACAGAAGTTAGATGCATATGAATCACGTCAACTTTAGGAATGCCTACATGACAGGCATGTCAAACCTGCACCTAACAAAACATTAATTGCATTAAAAATCAAGATGTTAGAGCTAATTTATAGATGTATAATTTGTTAGAATATGGGGGCCATATATCTTAACTGTACCTCAGACCAATGTATTAGAGCCTCCTGGCTTTCTAAACTTTGAACTTTCACAGCTTCTTCATGCCCTATCTCTCTCGGCCGGGAAATTCTCTCTGGCCTCACTGTAATTCATTTCCTCTGATTCACATGTATCCAGACATAAGGAGTCTAGGGAGAAATAATAACCAAAGTTCTCCTTCATTCACCCATCTGCCTATATTTTCTGTGTGTAGAACTAGAACACTCTTACTACAATGCGTAGCTTACATATCAGATCTCATCTGTAATGCTGCAGAGACAGCCACCCAGGGGAGGAGGCGGGGGAAACCTACCTGGAAAATGTGTCCCACAGCCACCTTCTATCCTGAATATGTGTGTAAGCAGAGTGGGATACGAATGAATGAACAGAAAGGTGTAATTTAGATAGATTAGATCATCTTATACTGGATAATTTCCTATGACATGGAGTAATTCTATTGTACATAAATTAACTTGAAAAAGCTACCTCTGGTCAGTTTTCAAAAGGCTATGCACAGTTCACTGCAAATTTTAGCTTCCTGGAACATGTGTGCCTATTCATTTGGCTGTTTCTCCTCTTAGAAAWACCATTCATCATGTGTAAAACCTCCTACTTTATAAAACTTATTTGCTTTTGATGCTTAACAAAAACACATTTGTGAAAAGCATGGAGTGATGTGAGTTTCCACTTACCTTTTCCGCTGATTGTGCAGTGCCGAAAAAAATCGGAATGAAGGCGAGCCAGACTATGCAAGTCGTGTACATGGTAAATCCAATGGGCTTGGCTTCGTTAAAATTTTCTGGCACACCCCGAGTCTTGATGGCATACACAGTACATGTGACCATGAGGAGGATGCTGTATCCCAAGGAGCAAATGATTTGGAGGTCTGTAATGTCACATTTGAGAACGCCCCTGGCCTGCTCGGGGTTCATGGTCTTATGTTCGTCATAGTCTACRATGATGTTGGGTGGGTCCACCCCAAACCAAATGAAAACACCTAGAAGTTGCACAGATATCAAACTGGAAGTGATTGCCAGCTGTGACGTTGGGCTTATGAGCCTGGGAGCTGTCACTGACTTCTTACCCTGCTCAAAGATGCGATATATCCGATTGGTTTTTGTCAAAAGGGCTGCATAACTGATGCACATCCCCAAGCCCAAGAAAACACGCCGGAAAGAACAGACTGCCACGTCAGGTTTGGCGATCATCAGGAAAGTGATGATGTAGCAAAGAAAGATGCCTGTCAACAGAACGTAGCTGAGTTCCCGCCCAGAGGCCCGTACAATGGGCGTGTCATTGTAGCGGATGAAAGTGGCCATGACGAAGATGGTGGCGATGATCCCCAACATCGCCAGGAAGACAGGGATGACAGCCCAGGGGGAGTGCCACTCCAGTTTGATGATGGGGATATTCTGGCAGCCAGTTCGATTTTCATTGGGACGTTGGTCATAGGGACAATGCTGGCATGTCATCTCATCAAACTGGTACTGGTATCCATCACAAGGCTCACAGGTCCAGCAGCAGGGTGTTCCCTTCTGGGTCTTCTTCCTCTGCCCAGGCTTACAGGGCAGCGTGCACACTGAGGGCGGGATCTCCCGGACACCCCTACCCCATTGCATGTCCTCTATCTGCAGCATGAGAAGGAGAGAAGGGAAGACAGGTTACTCAAAAGAGAAGAACAACAACCAACATTAGCAAACAGCTTCAGTAGCAGCTAACACTGGGTGGATGAAGCTAAAAAGCTCGTCTCCTGCTAGTGACAGCCACGGCCATTGGTGTCCAGCAACCTGCACACTCACCAATACAGACTCTGCTCCAGACATGCTAACTGTGAGAATTTACAGACAAAAACTAAAAACACAAGTTAAATGTTTCCATTGCTGATTTCTCAAATAAAAATATCCTAAAAAAGAACTTTGGGCTCTGGATTTTTTTAAAAAAAATTTATTAGTGCATCGTAGTTATACATAATAGCGAGGCTCATTTTGACAGCATCACACAAGCATGGAATATAATKTGCTTCATTCTTGTCCCCAGTGCTTCCCCTGTCCCTCCTCTCCTCCCTCCCCTGACGCCCTTTCTTGACTCCACTGGCCTTCCTTCTGTCTGTCTATAGCAGTGCTTTATAGCTATTCATATAAATATAGCACAGTGAATCTCACCTACATGTACATAGGAAAGTTTGGTCAGATCACTCCACCATTCAACCCTTCCCTGTCCTTCTCCCTGTATCCCTTCCTCCCCTCCACTGACCTCTCTTCTATTTTCATGGGATTACTGCCCCCCAAACATTTATTCCTTGTTTTACTCTAGCTTCTGCATATGAAAGAAAACACTCAACTTTGACTTTCTGGGTCTGGTTTATTTCACTTAGCATGACGTTCTCTAGTTCCATCCATTCACCAGCAAGTCCCATCACTACATTCTTCTTTAGGGCTGAGAATTCCATTGTGTCTACATACCACATTTTCCTTATCCACTCATCCGCTGATGGGCACCTGATCTGACTCCTTAAATGGCTCTTGTGAATTGTGCATGTATTCACTGTTGTGACTGTATCATGAAAGTACACTGTTTGTAGATTTTTAACAAGCACCCAGAGGATTCTTGGGAACTGATAAATTGAGAAACACTGGCATGTACTCTTCTGCCTCCCTCTGGATACTAAGCCTGTGTGGCCCAGTTCAACTTGTAAATCACAAAAATAATGTCAGCAAAGTGAAACTTTCCTTCTTCCCCCATCTTGGGAGCTTTCATAAAATAATCACTTAAAAATTATTTTACATCACGTTTCAGTGCTGACCATCTTACCCAAATTCTAGCAGGCATTGTTGCCATTTTCAATGAAAACTTTTAAAATTCAGTGAACTTACTTGATTATTTATCAAAGAGGAGCAATAAGGCTGGTCATTGAAGGATTAACTGGATGCCTTAGAGATCAGAATAATAATAATTGATAAGAAAATAACATGGTCCAGAAACCTTTTAGGATTGGCCATCCACTTGTTTAGAAATAAAATTTAAAGAAAATCACTGTATCCTAGAAGAGGATGAAAGTGTATTTGCCTAATTAGAGTGTTGGTTTTCTAGAGGAGGATTCATCAGCAGCAGTGTTCTGAGAAGTAATGGCATTAGACAAAAGGGAAAACCACTTTACTGAGCTGAAATCTCATTGACTTGGGCATCTGTCCTGCTGGCCAGCACAGCCTCTGCTCTTTCTCTTTCCTATCAGTTCCTCAGATGTCTTTGCTGTGTGCTTTCTGTTGGGTTGAGATTTCACTGAAGCTGTAGGAGCCAGACTGAACAGTTAGTAGACCGCTGTGGCATTCTGGAGCACCAGCTGGGATTACTGGAAGACAACATCTTAACCCTGCTCCCAGGTTTTCTGATTCACTGGGCCTGGAATGGGGCCTGAAAATGTGCATCTCTACCAAGATCCAATTGATTGTTGGGGAATACCGTCTGTCAACCACTGATAGATTCCAGCCTCCTAGACATTAGGTCAAGGATGAGATCTTTGTGTACCTGATCACCGAATTTCATTTCCTGACTTTTTGAGAGATAATACACGGGAAAAAAGGCTTTGCCTTTGGTGCAATTGGAGTTTTCAGAACACAAGGAAGCTAGTGTTCATGGATAAAACAAGGACAGAATGTGCCAGAGAATAAAGCTAACACGGGATAACAGAGTATGAAGAGATCAGTAACTGGTGAACTTCTTTGAACTCCTGGATATAGCTACGCCTGAAGCAGGAATTGCCCAAGAGTATGGTATGTAAGATAGTAAATTCACCTATGTTGAAGCATTATGAATTTCATTTCTGTTCCCTAAACCACGACTCCTGAGCAATATATGCACTAAATAATTTTAATATCTACAAGTCAGCAAATTATTTTACAGAACAAATTCTAATTAACAAATGATTCTTTCCCCCCATATCTCATTAATCAAATTTTTAATACAGTTGATCAAAAAATAGCTTAGAAAGTTACTGGAAATTCTAGATGCTTTTCTAAATGCATAATTTTAAGAGTTAAGGAGAAAGCAAACCAATAATTCATTGCTCCTTGGGATTCCAGTGCTCTGTTCCTACAGGATGCACAGCAGGGAGGGGTGCTTTCATTAATAACTGAATGTTAACTATGCTTAAAATCAAAAGCAGCTGATTCTAAAAAGTATGTATGTGGATGGCTCAAGGGTTAACTTCATAAAATATCATGACCTTCCAATGGCTGAATTTAAACTTTAACCAGAGACCCAGACTCTTCAGATGACTCTAATGTGAACTCATCTGCCTGCACACAAAACCCAAGTCAGCACTCATAAATCTAACTAAATATCTTAAAGCATAATCATTTCTTTCTCAACATCATCAGTTATTGAGGCAGTGAGTCACTGGCAGCCATCCCAAATCCATAACATTAAGGAAATAACTTGTAATAAGACAGAAAAAAATATATGCATTAACTTTATAAATGTCACATTTCAAGAGGTACGGACATTTAAAAATTGCTATTATTAATACAAATGTTTTCAAATGTCAAATTAAAAGGCCCTACTCATGTTTACCAGGATAGATGGAAAAACCAAACAAATGGATACATTTCATTAGATAAATTGGTGGTTTCCTCATTCTAGTGCTTATGGATACTGATTTACCATATGATTAAATTGGATCAGTGGAAATAAATGCAGGGCTCATATAAATATGAAAACAAATTATCATTTTATGTAATATTTTACAGTCAATTTCAAACACTGCCAACTCACAGTTTTTTCCCCTTTTGGAATAAAACAAAATGTCTGGCAATACTAAACAGTTTTTTTTTTTTTCCCTTCTCAACTTATCCTAATATATACAAGAGCTATAACCACAAATCTTACATTGACTGATTACTTAATTTGTTCTCAATTTTCATTTAAAGTAGATTTCAACTCAGTTTAATTGTACACGTTAAAGCAACAAAGTTGCCTCTTGCTTCAAATGAACAAAAGTCTAGTTTACTCACTTTGCTAAGAAAATCATCATTGAAAGTATAAGTCCCATCTAACCTTTCAAAGTTCCAGTAAGAAAGATTTTGTTAAAACAATGCACTCTGATTTGTGTGCATCCCTGCCCATCTGCACAGAGACAGTATCTTGTTTTGTAAGAAGAAACTATTAGCAGCAAAAGCCCACAGGCAGCTATTGCAGGGAGGGTAAACACTAGGGGCTGTGAAAAATCAAATATGAAGTCAATTTACTTTGCATGAAAGGTGGTAGGAATATAAATTTCAAGGCTTCTCTGAACTCTGCAACCAGACTGTGTTTCAGTTAGCTGGAAAGACAAATGTAAGGTTCAGACAGATCAGAGTAAAGGTTGGTACGTTTATCATCTTCATTAGGAGATACAGGCTTACATCCAGATGAGAACGTGTTTTCTTCATGGGTAACTGGAGCTGACAATTATTTGATGCCTCATCTGGTCAGTGTCTGCCTTATGGGGGAAGGACTGTTGAGGTCCCACTGCTCTACAAGAAAAAGAGCTTTACTTCTAGAACCATGAGTTAACCTAAGAAATGACATGAAGACATGGATGATTAGATCAGTAGTTTGGGCAAGAGCAGATTATTCAGCTCTGGTGAATGAAAGCAAGAACAATTCTGCTGTGGAATCCTGGGAAAGTGTTCTTCAGTCTTAAAACATAGACACAAAGAAGAAAAAAAGGTATTCTGGGCCAAGTATGTTGCTCACACATTCCTAGTAGGTGTGAGGCTCTAGGTTCAATCTTCAACAGAGGGAGGCATCGACAATTTTCCAATAATTCAAATTCTTGCATGCATAGTGGTTAACTGTAGAAGGAAAGCGAGGACTAGACTTGCATGTGCTCAGAAACACTCGTCTCTGATTCCTGAGAAAGCATAATGAAATACTGGACTCAGAGAATCAGCACCAAGTCCATTGTTTCTGGTTCATAGAGAAAAGTGAAAAATCAAGTGTCAGCTAAAAATTCCCTAGCAAACATGTTATAGGGGAAAGTTGGGGTCTAGCTACAGTAGAGAAAGAGCTACTCCAGAGGGAATGTACAAAACCTTATTATCACTAGAATTTTAAAATAAAACCCAATTAGTTTCCATCATGCTGCCCAAAACAAAAATCAAACAGAAAGAATTTTTATAAACAGTTTGCTTCCATTTTTATCTAGAAGAGATCTGTTCCTTTTCCAAGATAGACATTGTGTTACTCCAAAGATATTTTTCTTGCTGAAATTCTACTTGCATATTTCCAATGAGTAACTCCATAGTCCAAGCTGACTGGGGCCTGAATTGTACAGTTCTCTGCTATATTATTTCTACTTATTAGATCTTTAATAGAATGAGTTAGCCTACAAAAGGAATCTTATTAAAATGCTGTCTGTTCATTAAAATATATGTATCCTATCTATTTTATTGATGTATCCTATCCATTTTATTGAGGGGGGGGAAGCTTTTTATAAAAACACACAGCAATGCAGAATTTTCAACCTGAGGTAAGAGTCAGTTTCAGTTCTGATGTGGACCGGGTGAGACGGAGGGCTAACAAGAGTCATAGAAATTCTGAAGCAACACTATGTCTTTTTAACTCAGTCCCTAATTTCATTTTTAAATTT